CAAAATATATATACACCATATATATATAACAAAGTAAATAACAAATATTTGGCATTTGTTAATTTATGGGAAAAAATCGTGTAAATATGCATAGGACGCTAAATTGCTTTTGTTGCATTTTTGTAAACCATTTGAATAGCACAAATCGTTGTTCTTGTTGTTGCTGCTGTTGTTGTTTGATGGGGCAGCGCAATTAATTGTTGTTTAATTGAATTTGAATATATTACGCATGGATTTCAATTAAAATAGAAATTCCAGTGCGCCTCGTTGAATCAATGAATCAAGTTTTGATTGTTAACTCTGATAAAATCAATCGAACATGACTTTGCTTTACAGCGCTGCGTTCACTTCCGGTTCGGAGACTGAGTCACACTGTGTGGAGAAAGGAGTGCTTCGCGTATATACGCAGAGTACTTTAGGGAGCGAAATTGAATGGAATGGCAAATAATTATATATCGTGGTGTGATTAAATAAGCATCACAAATATACACATAGTACGTTAGAGAACTAAGTGGAAGGGAACGTGCGAATCTAGGAGATTTATACGCAATATATGGAAATTATCATGTATATTAGCGAGTGTCAAAACTGTGAACAAAATGGTAAGAATCAACAGTAACCAAATCTATTTCACATTTTTAATTGAGCTAAGAAGCCCAAGATTTTAAAATGTATTTCCTATTTTTAACACGGGTTAGCAAACAGGCTATACGTAGTCACACCGTTTAAATATCAAAAACAGATAGTTCGCGCTTCCCACTATAAAATCTAATCATTAAATACTGTCGCCTCGCGAACTATGTCAGAATTTTTATTCCGTTGCGCGTTACTCAATAGAAAAATATTTGTATAAGCAAAACACAGAAAATGACAACAGGAAAATACGAATAAATAGAACAAGCAGAAAAACGAATACAACAACACACATGTATATATTCACATACATACATATTTATGACAGGCCAATAAAATGTAAATTTAGTGAGCGGCAATAATAATAACAATAACAACAACAACAACAATGTGTGCACCGGCAACTAAACAGAAATGCAAATAAACTAAAATATAAGAAATAACTCTTAACGCCGGTAATCCGAACAGTCAATACTCTTATACAACTCTTATAGAAGATAATCTTGTGTATAAGGGCTGATCTTTACCTATTGGCCTGCAAATTTATTATAGATCTTTAAGAATACGATACTCTAAAGTATTTTGCCTTTTGAGCATGACACAAGCGCCATACTCTCTATAAACCGGACGATGAGAATCAAAAGATTCAATACTCTTTCACATCTTATAAAACTAGGTATAAGAGATGATCTTTATCTATTGTCACGCTGATTAATAGTAGAATGTCTTAAGATCTCCCATTTCCCCTTTGATTGCATTTACAATGTTAATGTGAAAATCATCATACCCCCTAAAGGTAGAGCATAAATATAAGCCGGCCGCATAAATTAAGAAAAATGTGTAAAAACAAAAGCAAACAAACATAAACAAACTGAGGCGACACTAACGGGCCGGCAATAAAATGTAACGTTCGTGAGGGGCGGCGGTTGGTGTGTGAGAGAATGTGCGGCGTGTGGGCGTGAAATCGAGAGCGAAACGCGCAATGAAACAAAATGGAATGGAACTAAAAGCTAATGCTGCTGCAATTACCATTTCATGCTGCGGCCGCACAACAACAACAACTACTACAACAATGCATGCAAAGAAAAACCTGTTACAGTTCGGTTGCGTCTGCGTCTGCGTCGATACAGCTGCCTCTGCTACTGCCGTTGCTGCTGCTGCTGTTGCTGCTGAGTCATTGCGCAGGCGTGCGGCGCTCTGCTAATTGCCCGCACCAAACGGCGTGTGAGTGACACTAGCGATTAGCGTCGCTGCCGGCGTCGACGTCGCAGCTGCGAATTGAACCGAATAATTTGCATGACGATGTTTTTGCTTAAACTGCTGCTGCTGTTGTTGTTGTTGTTTTTGTTGTTGCTACTGCTGCTACGGTGGGTCATTCACATTGCCGTAGGTTGTGATTTGTTTAGCGGTCGCGCTACCCTTTTGTGCCCCGCTCCCCTGCACCCGACATAACTGGAACACTTGTTAGAGATATGCGAAAAACTTGTATTATTTCTCTTTAGCAAATTCCCAAAAATTAATTTATTTGTTTGCACATTTTATTTTCGATTGTGGTTCAATTCGAAGCATGAGCGCTAATCGATCCAAATTCTTTATTACTTATGTATTAGCATTAACAGCAGCAGCAGCAGCAGCAGCGGCAAGGCCTAATTGCCTGTTGGCCAAAGTGATATAAAAATGCAAACGGCATTAAATTAATGCTAATTAAATTCAATTTCGAATCGTTGCGATATTAGTTGCAGCCATTGAATGAAAGGCCCATGTCCCAATTTAATTATAATACGAATTGGCTGAGCCTTATCAGCAGCGCTCCACAAAATGTCGCTCTGAGCCTTCAAATTCGAATGTGCGCGAATTAGCCAACATAAAATCATTATTTGCCTTTTTTATGTGCTCATACACACACACACACATAAGAGCTTAGAGCTTAGGCGAGATAAATGAGAGTACAAATTTAGAGGAGAATGGGATGATTGCGGAATGAAATGGAAATTGAAATCTTTATATGTCGACACTGATGTGAATGTTGCAGAAGAAAAACTCTATTTTCAATAGGCAAGATTTCCACTCTAAGCCCATTTCGAAATGGAACAGATGCGCATCAATTGACACAGCACGAAAATTCCAGTTTGAGGCAAGATCTACTGTTTAATTATATATTCATCCCGTTGATTGTTAAAACGCCCCCATTTACAGAGATATCTAGAGAGAGATACACACACAGTCTCAATATGCCACGAGGTTTCTTTCCACTTCTCGTGCCTTGTCTTCGCCGTGCTTCCCTCTCAATTTCCATCAATCAACGTGCAACACACGAGGGGCAAGCCAGCACAACAATTTTAAATCAACTTTAATTGAAATAAATTGTCATATCATTTGCGCTGGCATAGAAAACAGACGCGCTGGCAATAAACAAAAATATACATATATATTTATGTATAACTGTATATGAACGTTATAATATGTGGGCTGTGTAATGGTCTATCTCTTATCTGCGGGCTGCCGGGGCTTGAGTGCTACTTAAAAATGCTTATAAATTAAAGCCATCAATCAAGCAAATTGAAAATATTGAAGCATCGCTGCATTATGACAGAATTTTTCACATTTCCCACAACGCTCTCGCTCTCTCTCCCCCTCTCTCCACCTCTTATTCTGTTCATTAACTAGATGAATGCCATGAAAGTAAAAGCCCAACAGCAGCAGCTGCTGCTGCCTTCGAGCCGGCCAGTTAAGTGAAAGTAATTTTTTGTTTTACTCAACGTAAACACTCAATAATAACGTTTTTTTTTTTTAATACATTTTTATATTTGTTTTAATGCTAATGCCAATTGCGTAATCAGACATAAACAAATATCATAAAAGCTAGTCATAAACCTACAGCGCGTTAAGGTCGGCTGGTATCGAGATCCGCTGATCATAAAATAAAAAAAATTTACCAACTTTGCGGTTAACTGCGCACGCACAATGGAACCACCACCTAGTAGTAGTGGCTCCTACTAAAATATATCCAATAGACCCACCCACTCTACCACCCCACCACTCATACTAAACCTACGCCGTAACAATTTACGGCAACACACTTTATGCAATTTATGCGCAATTTTTCAATTGACTCCGACAAACGGCGAACCGGAAGATTTCGTTTGAAGCCACACAGTTGCGAATGCCATAAGAGTGAAGTACTATGAATTTGTCATGAGACATGTAACATATAACACTAAACATGATTATATAACTGTTCATAATCAAATCAGCCTTATTATCATATCACATAATATAAAGAAATATATTAATTTATTATTAATAAAGATTCTTTTAAAATTAAGTCAAGTTTAAAACAGCTCAATTCTTTATCTTTTTAAGACTTTTCGTATTATACCAAGACCTATCAGGTAACTATTCTATAAAGCCTTTCATTGTATTATTAAGCGATTATTTTAAATATTAGGCTTTGAAATTGAGCTTGTTTTTATAAATTTAAACTTAATTAGCATATTTTATATTCCTTAAATTTTCTATATATTCTGGATTGAATTCCATATCTTATACTGAGGAGTCTGCAAGAGTATTTAATAGTCGGCGCTTTGTTTATAGTTTTTTTGCAATTTTTTAATAATAATACACATTTTGAGTCTCATAACTTTATGAGCTGCCACATATAATGTTGCATGTGCGCTATGTAATAATTTAGTTGCTATACAAACAGACGGTGAGACAGACAGACAACCGGACGGATGGACGGATACACAGATATACGTCAGCTTAACTTTTGTAATCGCAATCAATCGGAATGACATTTGCAAAAGTTTAAGGCAAAGCTGATTTGTTCGAAATATGAAATGCTCAAACTTCAAACATTCTTAATTGTTTTATAACAAGTTTCTGAATAATATTTTAAAGTAAATTAAGCAATAGATCTCTGAATCATCTGCAATTAATTAAATGAATGGTCTAAGATTAACGATAAATTCTTTAATTTAGTATTATTCTCTATAATAAAGACTCACTTTATATGTTCATATACATATATCTAAATGGCAATCAAATATCTATTGAGAACACTAAATAGTTTTTTTTATTAGATATTCGTCAAGTGTGATATTCTTGAAGATTGCCAGATGGATAGATATTCATTAGTTCTGTATACACTGTCAACTGGATTTTAATGGGCTCGACATATAAAAAATCTTTAGGTTTTCGACATTTCAGACATTTGATTAAGTAGGCCATAATCGACTCATAGAAGTTCAATTAATTTCGCCAGAGATCAAAACGAACTTCGTCTAATGGCTGACATCATAAAAAACTAGACAAGCGTATAGATGGATGGATAATAATCTCTGGACACTCACTCACACACACACACACACACTCTCACGCATTCAGCCATTTATCAACTTCCTTATCAATCACAAACATTACCAAATAACCCAAGCATTTGCATTTGCATTTGAATGAACGTACCTGCAAAGAAACCAGCAAACAAGCAAAAACCAAATATAAATAAGTTAATAATATGAAAGATTATCGTATATCATAATTTGCATAAACTTGTATATATACATATATGTAGTTATCTATGTAATTTGCATATATTTTGCGCTCTTAAATTACGTGGGAAAATGTTGGGAGCAGCGCGCAACGGGCGCCAAAAGTTGACACATGAATGTATCAAATGTTATCGGGGAATTCAGAGTATAATATCCAAAAATTGATAAAACGAATCAACAGCGGCAAGTCGAGCTGCATTAAGGGCCTATCAAATTACCAGATATCCTTTGAAACTGAAGACTGAAAACAATTTACGCTCATTCACGTAAAAAAAGAAAAAGAAAATTTGTTGAAGTTGAAGCAGAGTCAACAAAGGTGGAGAGGGCAATCGAGAGAGATTTTCGGCACACGTGTGAAGACAATGCTTAACACACATATTTGGTGTTGTTGTTGGCTGTGTAAATAGGTAAACAAATCCAAAAACAGAAATCCCAGAGAGCTGCACAAAGAGGGAGAGTGAGAGTGAGTAGGCTTGTCTAATAAGCGACAAAGCCAAACGCACGCCTAAGAATTTGTATTCGCCGACAATTGAGAGTGAAAACAACGGTAGTTTGCCAAACTAGTAGTAAAAGCAACTCTTTGGGCGGCGATTAAAAAGTGTGGAGTGTGGAGTGTGAGAGAGACAGAGACAGCGACAAGGTAGGCAAACAACAAAACGGCAGCCAGAAAAAGCAAACAAACACAAGGCGAATTGAGCTGTCGTTGCCCGTTGCCTTGTCACAATATTTATAGTGTGCACTGTAATGTGTGTTTGTTGTTGTTGCTGCCAGTTGGATCTGTGTCCACTCTAATGTGTAAAGGTTGTCTTTTTTTTTTTTTGGTTTTTGCTTACCGGATAATACATTCCGTGCGGAGGAAGAAAAAATGCCCCGGAGCCCCACAGTTTGACGGCTTTTTGTGTTTACAGTCGCGTCGCAAATTATATGCACAGCTGCCCCGTATAATTGACACCAACAAAGTGTGTGTGTTGCTTCTTTCAGGGGGTAGTCTACACTATGTAAACAAGGGTAGTCACGCTTGCTTCTTTTTCTTCTTGCACTTTTTATTATTATATTAATTAACACTGTATTTGATTTGACGTCGCATTTGTTGCATTTGTTTAGTGTGGTTTTTACTCATTCATTTATATTTTCATATGTGATTTACAATTTGGATTTTTGGCACAATTTACAATTGGAGTGAATTTCACTTAGGAGTCGCAGTTCACTAGATTCTAAACTGAACTGAAAATATACATATATTTTATATAAATAAGCAAAACGAGAAGAAAACAAAAAACGAATAAAAAAATGCAAACACATTCTTGAACAGTTGAAACATATATTAGATTCCCGAATATCACATCATCCAGTCCAATATAGATACATGAGAAAATAATAATATTATGTATATATGTATATAAATAATAATATTTATATTTGAACAACAATTTCACAACAGATTTTTACGCGGAATTTAACGAATTGCGAAATTTTGGAATAATGTCTGCGCCGTTGACTTATTTATATTTATACATATGGACAAATATGTATATATTTCTATATATGTTTATTTACATATGTATATTTGGCGATATTTTTTTGTCATATTGAAAAACTAATTGTTATTTAGGGGTTGCTCTCTCTCGCCGTCCAACTAGGCGAAGGATGTTGCATGGCAGCGGTGGCTGTGGCTGTGGCTGCGGCCAAGCGAAACGAAACGAAAACAGAAAATGCGCAAAAAGGCGAAATGAAAAATACAGCGCAAACGCGAGACAAAAGAGACCAGCCAAAAGGCACGAGAGACAGCCACGCGCTTTTATTAGGGGGCAGCGGCCGGAGGAGAGGCAGAGGTAAAAGCAGACGCAGTTTCCAGTTGAATGAAATGATGTTTATAAAAAAAACATCTATTGCGAATGTTGTTGTCACTTTGAACGTTGTTATTGTTGTTATTGGTTCAGCGATAAGTCTTCACGTTATTCATTTATAAATATATATGTACATATGTATGTATATACATATTTATTCTCTTTGCGGCATATTCGAGCACCAGACATTCCACAAAGGCTTTACTTTGTCTGTGGCCAACGGAAAAGGCAAACGCATTAATTCTTGTTGTTGTTGCTGTTGCTGCTTTGCAGCTAAATGCAATTTTTGGTTATGCGACGGCGACGGCTACGTCGACGGCAACTGCGACGGGGACATTATTCTCTCTTACGAGGCGAATTCATCATCTGGCACACACATTTTATTTTCGTTGATTGAATGGGAAAGACAAAGCGCAGCAACGACAAGCAGCTGAGCGTGTGTGAGTGTGTGTGGTGTGTGAGTGTGTGTGGATGCTGCTAACGCCGCTGCCGCCAGCAGAGAGTGAGTGAAAGACAGAGAGAGAGACAGAGAGAACTGTGAAAAATCGAATCAGAAAAACAGGCATGCGAACGGTGGTGCGAATGGCAGTGCGAGAAGGATCAAAGGATAAACAAGGAGGCGCAGCAGCCATGAAATGTAAACGAAGCGCAAAAAGCAACGAGAGAAAAATGTGCGCAAAATAAATTGCGAAGGGAGCACAAGGAACGACGGACAAAAACATGTGGCACATTGAATGAATTTCTACATATATTCGTATATACATTTATATGTATATCTATAGGTTTTTTCTTCTTTTGATGCTGCTAAACGAACGACCGGTCGAAGGGGGAAGGCAGAACAGACAGGCACAAGAGAAATCACGTCCCTCGCGCCTGTCTGACTGTGCGACGCTGCTGCTGCCGTCGATGCCGCTGCCTCTGATTCTGATTCTGCTTCTGCCTCTGCCTCTGCCGCCGCCGAGAGAGATGGCATATATATTTATTTTTAACTTTTCATTTCATTTTGTATCTGTACGTTGTACGTTGCCGATTCCGATTTATACATGTTTGGTTGAACATAGCTCGCTGTTGCACTGCACTTTTGTTTCAGATTTGAAAGCACTTGACGTTGTTGTTGTTGTTTTTCATCTAGAAACGTATTTGAATTTGCTTTTGTTGTTGTTTGGTATTTGGTATTTGCACACATGGATTACATGTTTTGTATTCAAACGATTGCGTCGATGAAGACATCGACTATAAACTATCAGCGTTCAATTATTATCTTTTCTTTTTTTTCGACTCCCACGACTTGTTGAGAAGAGCGAGAATATGTAATAGCTACAATTGGTAGGGAAATACGCGCGCAACGCTTAAATTTACCGCAGCAACAATCAAACACGTCCGCTCGCAACGAGAAATGAAATGCGAATGAGAGATGAAAACGAAGAGCGAAACTCACAGAGGATGCGAGCATAGGTGAGCGCGGCAGAATGTTGTGTGCGTTGCGCAAACTGAGAGTATTTACTTGGGTACTCTCAACAAGAGCGGGAGCGTAAAACCATTTCGTGTATTTTGCAGCACTGTTACAATTGAGCTTGGCGCCCGTTTAAATTTTTGAAATTATATTATAGATGTATGAGTAAACTGTAAGTTACTAAACTCTTGATAAATAATATATAAATTCTCTTTTTTATATTTTATATTTTATTTTGAAATAATTGTAATGTTTATTTTATATAGATATGGGCATACATGCAGTCAGAGAGAGGTTTCTTTTCCTGCAGCAATAATGTTATATTAACAGAGCACTGTTATTGTATTCATATTTATCGATAATATAGTTACCGCGAAAATTTGCGATAAAAATCGAGTTTAAAGTAAATAAATATAATGCCATTATTGTAGTAAACTAAAATTAAAAACTAAAAAAATTATTAAAATCAAATGTATGCAAAAAATTAATATTAAATTTTGCAGATGCCTTTCTTTTTGCTTTCCAATAGCGTTCATTTTAGTGTCACCAGATATACTCCCACATTACTGCACACATTGTTAATGACATTCCCAACTGAAAGCTTTCCCTCTAGCCACATACACGCACACACATGCTGTGCACCATGTTGAGGTCCAAACAACATCCTCTTCCCTCTCCTCTTTTTGCCACTTGCCACTCGCAATTTGCCACTTGCCATGGCCTGCAAATCAGAATTGCGTCCTGCCTGCAATAAAACCAAATCAAAAGTGACATGCCTCATTTTCGGCTGGGCAGCAACATGACGGACGCGTTGTCAAGATTGCATTAGCCTCGTGTGGACAGCAGCAGCAGCATGTCCTTGCTAGCAGGACAACAGCTTGCCACGGCAAAGCGTGCGAGACTTATTAAACAGGAACGTTGCCCGACGACACCCAGCGAGGGGAAGCAGATTTAAAATGCAAATAGCCTCACGAGTTTACAGCGCCCCATTCGACTCGGCAGCTAGCCAGGCAGCAGTTGAGCTGCATCCGGCCGTATCCTGAAGCCGGCCCACTCTCATATCCTTCGTCCTATCAGCTCCACTAAGCAGCAGCAGCAGCGTAGCAGCAGCCGCTGTGCGTGTTTTGGTTGTTGTTTTTGTTGCTCTGTGCATAAATGCAAATGCCGTGAAGCTGGCAACTTTTTAATCCACGCTGGCCAGCAAATTGCCGCCTCCTCCACAGAGGGAAACGCAACGCTGCGAAGAACTAAGCCGATGCGCTGCCATCTGCAGATAAATGCAGAACATACTCACATGTAGAAAGGACCAAACTCGATTTCCAAGCAATGCGCTATACATATGTATGTGCTTCGCTCAGTTCACAATAGAACCGAAATTGCAATGTTATCAGGACAGTTACAGAAGATAATCTGCAGAGGGAAAGTGCTGTAACAGTTGAACAGCAATGTTAACCTAACAGCTGCATAACACAAGTTAACAGAATAACAGCCAAGCATAACAGATTAATGTTCCTTCTGTGCTTCATCATCCCCAAACATAATATTATAGCAGTTATTATATTTTAACTTTATACACATATATGCATGTAAACGGAATCAAGCAATTCATTTTTACAATGATATTGCTAATGCCCTTTTAAGAGTACTGCAACATAATCTGTGTAACAGTAATATAATAGGAGCTTAACATAAGGTGTCTCTTAAGCAATTAATCTTCAGAAGGATAGAGTTAATTCCCTTATTACAGCAATGTTTTTTTTTTTTATTTATTTTTTTTATCTTTAACATTAATTAAATGGTGAATTAGAATATTCAATAATAAAATGCACATTTAGGTTATAATAATGTTAGACGACTTAATTTTGATTAATCGAAAATAAGTGACTTGTAAATAGTATAATATTAAAAGGATTTTATATATTGGGTAAATCCAGCTAAAATTAAAGAAACTCATTTCCCAAACACATGAGGTGGACAAGAATGCATGAAGATCTCATGAGAGCAGAGTTGTTAATTTCCTGACTAACATTAATGTAAGGCTTAATATAATCTATTTGATTTGCTAGCATTATTGCAACAGATGAAAGTCCTTGGTCTGCCTCATAATCTGCCGCAAATTTCCTCGCTACGGTCGCCTTTGGGAAACTGAAACTATTTGTACTTTGGGCTAAATTCAATCTGGTTTTTGGCTAAGACAACGCAGCGAACCGCAGAAACCTAAAGAAAACTAACGCAAGCCCGCCCCCAGAGAGTTGATGTATGAATGGGTGGGTGAGCGAGTGGGCGAGAGGGTGAGTGGCTAGGTCGAGTCGTGAGTGGCCAACAAACCGCAAACAATAACAAACGATGGCCAAGGCGAAACACAAACAGAGACCGAAACAGACGCTGCCTGCTGCTGCCTGCTGCTGCTGGTGACGCCTACAAAATGGCTACAAAGAAGCAGCACGAGATGCGAAAGGAAGGCGCGGGGCGTGAGGAGCAGCGGCGCCGAGGGGGAGACGCGCGCGACACGGGCAACTGGCAGCTGCGCAGGGGGCGTTGTCCTGTGCCATTTGGAGGCAAAAAGGATTTATGATGCTTGTTATCGCGCAGCCGGAACGAGGCAAACGATGACAAAAGGTGCCCAAAGGCAGGGCATACATACACAAAAAGGAAACATACGCTCTATGTGTGTGGGTGTGTGGGTGTGTGTGTGGGTGCTGGGCAGATAAGATCTGCACGCACAACCAAAACCATTGCATACTTTTAGGCGGGCGCTCGTAAAGCGTCTGAGCAAAACATGTGTTCATTCAGTTGTAGCTATTATATGTTATTGTTGCTGTTGTTGCTGCTGCTGTTTGTTGTTATGGCCAGGCAGAGCCAGAGCCAGAGCCAGAGCCAGACCCAGAGCTAATCGGAAATATTTATGGCCGAGCCACTGCTCAGGTGTGTGGCAAGCGTTTCCCACCTTCACGCGAACATAAAATGCGCATTAATTAAATTTTCCAAATAGGCTGCCAATAGGCGGTGCCTAATTAAAAATGTAAAAAAAAAACACACGCGCACACATACATACACACGGGAATGAGTGCGATACGCATGCATAAAAGCAAAAGTTGGCCATTAAAATCGCCTAAAAGTATCTATTAGTCATGGGCCGGGCAGGAGGCGGTGGAAGGGGAAGCGGCCTGAGCTAAATTAGTCAATAAATTAAAGCTCGCCAAGGAGTCGGGCTGCCAGGCAGCCAAAGCAGCAGGCACTTGGGCCAGCATAACGAGCCAAAACCAAACCAAACCAAAAAAAAAAAAAAAAATTAAAATGAAAAGAGGAAGCAGAACATTGCATTAAAAAATCCATTCATTAAAATGGCAAAACGTGGCACAAAATTTATGGCCAACGGGCAGAAGGAGCCGCAGGAGTCAAAGTCGTGGAGCGTTGCGTTTGCCAACGGCTCAAGTCTCAAGTGGCTGCGCGTTTGCTTCGAGCGTGCCACAAAGACCAGCTTACAGCAACAACAACAACAACAACAACAGTTAGACCAAGAAGACAGGTAAGCACTGAATCAGCTGAAACTGAACAGAGAGCATTAGCAAGACTCTTAAAGCTTTTCTGTTCCAATATACTATGACAATATGAAAGAAATTGATTCCATTTAGCTATTTATTTATCATGAAATAGGATTTTCTTGAAGTTCAAGTAAATTTAAATTTAAGTTTAATATTAAAATTCTTGAAGATTTTGCGTTGCACCTTGTATAATTATTACAAACAATTTTAAAATATTTTATTACTTTTATATTCTGTAAAGTCCTATTAGCTGTATCCAATTTACTATATTTTTCAGGATAATTAGAAAATATTTCTCTAATGGATAGAATTATTATATGTTTCATACAAATTAAGTATGCACCCAATTCAGAATATTTTAGAAACAAAAACATAAAAAAACATATTCACTGATGGATAGAATTTTCATACAAGTCTAATTTATATATCTTTAATAAACATGTTTAAATTATATTCCGCATAAAAAGAAATGAATATATATATTTTTTTGTTTTATTTTTTATTTATTTATTCTCATATAATATTATCTAACTTTTTTCATATTATTCCTTGAGATATCCTGTATATATGCTGTATTATATGCTCACTCGAAGCAATATATGTTGATATACATAAAGTGCAAGATATCCTGTAATGTCACCTGAAGCTCACAGATATAACTATATCAGATACTTTTCAAAGCCAGCATAACTCTGGCGCTGTGGGCGTGGCTGGCGGCAGGAGGCGCCAGTTCAATGCGCTCGTCCTGCACTCTCAATTATAATTTGCTTAGACAGACAAACAGCCCCAGAGCTCGGCACACGGGCTCCGTGCGATGTCTTTGGGGAGCTGTTGCTGCCGCTGCCGCTGCCGCTGCCAGCGTTCATGTCGTCACATTAGTCGAGAGCAACAGCCTCATCGCATATACACGTAAATATGTAGACATTTGTATGTAGCATAAATGCGTTTGCATGAGAATGTGTGGGCGGAAGCCAAAAAGTGTGCAGCAATCGCAAAAGTTAAAAGCATTTGCCGGTTTATCGGGCCCGCACATCCCTGAGCACCCACCCCACCCGCCACCACACACACCCCTTGTAATTCCATCAGCTTCGAAAACTCCTTTGACTGAAGCCTTTTCACACACATTTCATTTGGTTACATCTGTTGCGGGCTTACTATTTTATTATCTCGTCTCGTTTATTGAACTTCCATTTGACAAATATTTTTAAATATTAATACTCGTTTACACTAAGGGAAAGAGTATATTTGTGTTGTGATATCTATGCTCTGGTGTTCATTTTTATGGGACTCTAGAGTCTTTAAATGTAGGAATGTATAGTCAGGTGTGCTTTTGTCTGTAGGGTAGATAAACATGAAAATATATAATATATATAATAATCATACATTCCATCATTAAATCATGTATAATAAGAATAAGAATACTATATTCAATACAAACACAGGAAG